AAGAAAATGTTGTTAAGATTTATCAACAAATGCATCTGCTTTAAAACAGGAGAAAATTTAGTTTAATTTTGCTAACCAAAATTTTGTTTATCTAATCGTTAGGCTATCAATTGAGACTATAATAATACGTATTGAACAAACAGCAGTTGAGATGGTATAAGAAAACCATAAACCAGTAGTAGTACACCAGTTAAGAAAAACTGAATTTTTCTTTGATTTTTTACTAACATTGTTGACCTGTTAATGGTTTTATTAACTGTGCAAAAAAAAAAAAAAATAAAATTTATTGTTACAAAAAGATGAGTAGAATTTTTTTTTGTTTTTTGATAAATTTAAATGATCATCATTTTGCAAAAGTTGTTAAGATTGATGATGAATTCTGTAATCAAGCACTAAGATATGCAATAATTTTAGTGTAACACGACCATTTGCATTGTATCATCAATTTGGTATTATCACTGTAAACATTGTGGCACTGATACTTTGTTTCACAGCATTTATGGTTGTCTGGAATCGTACAAAACGATTCAGAAATGCAGCTAAAGAATTGCAAAATATTAAACCAATTTTAGTTGTTTCTGCTGTATCTACGCTTATTCTAATTGCTAATAATGTTGTAAGTTCAACCTTTATTACTGTAATTCTTCAACAAGAAATTTTATTTACTTGATTAAATTTTACAGATTTTAAAAAGAAGAGCAAAAAGAAAATCAAAAAATGAAATTTTACTCGCAAAAAAAAATTATGTTAAATTACTAATAAACAAAGTTGTGGTGTAATGTTGAAAAAAAGAAGAAGAAGAAAAAAAAGCAGGTTCTTTTTTTTGGTATAAACTGAATAGAATTGTCTTGAAATTTCATCAATTATTTTTTTTTCAGGCATATGTGCTAACAAATTTTACCAGTATTTCTGTATCACAAAATTTACAGAACGTTGTTGTCACCTATACATCAGCAGTCTTTTCACTTTCAAAAGTTTTTCTGTATCTGTTAACTGGTAAAGAATTTCGTACAGCACTACGGCAACGATGGCGACCAACGTTGACTAATGTAGTTAATCCATGTTAATGTAGTTTACAACCAAAAAAAAAAAAAAACTCTATGATACTTCTAGAAGCAGACAGTAGTGATTAGAGAGAGGTGTTATTTTTTAAAATCTTTAAATGCAAGTTAGTTTTCTTGGTTATTTAAAAAGAAAAAAAAAACAAGAACAAAGAATAATTTTTTTTTAAACTTATATATTCTACTAAACAGTTGTCATTTTTTTAGCGTATATTTAACGTTAGCTAAAGCGATAGCAAAAAATATACATATATATATACACAAATAAATAGATAAAATTAAAAAAAAAAAAAA